CATTCATCGGACGCTGCCGCGTCCTCGCGAGGGTCGAACGTCGAAAATTCTAATGGAAACGCCTCCGCTCGTTCGCTCGCTCGCTCGCTCGCTAATTCACCCCCTCCCCCGGCCACTCGCGAGATTGCGTGCCGCGTTTACCCTGCAATTAAATTCGTGTCCGTTCGCGGCGGTTGGCATTGAATTTTCGGGCACGTACGGCTGCATAAAATATTCGCTCGCGCACGCCACGGCACACGGGAATCCTAGAGATGATGCCTGATGCTTATTGTTAATTGTTGATACCGACTGCGAACCGTTCCGCCGCGATACGACTTTGATGAATCCATTCGCGAGCGGAACGGGGAAATACGCGAGGAGGGTGCCGCTGGTTTTAACCCTTCGCACTCGAGGGATCACCGTCAGTCACCACTTGATTCGGTGCAGCGAAATTAGAAAGCTTGATGTTGAATATTAAATATTAATATTCGAGGTAATACGTCGGTGTACGAAATGTTCGGGTAATATTGTTTCGCACTTTAACCCTTTGCACTCGAAAGGCGACTCACAGTCGCCATTTGGCTGGACAGAACAAAATTATACTGTTCAATATCAAAGTTCATTAATGTAATTATAAATGAAGCATTGAAATAGAACAATTCTGTCTATGTTGTTTATGTGTATTGTTTATATCTATGTTAGTCATGAAAGGTACCATTAATATTTCATTAGAAAATTACGAGTATATCCAACGAGAAAACTTTCGAGTGCAAGGGGTTAATTTGGTAGTTTCGAGATACATCGTCTGCATCTCATTAGAAAATTTGGAATATTTCTGGTAGAGAACTGTCGAGCGCGAAGGATTAACCCTGCGGCATTCTTATATTTGCTACCACGGCTTTTTTGATCTTTCAACAGCGTTTCGTGTTTAGTCTTGTTTCAATCCTCAGTTTTTCCAAGATAATTTTGAATTGAGAATATTGCAAGAAGCTTGTAACTAGTCTACGGGTTCTTATATTTTTTAGCGATGTTTCGAGTATACGAGGGTTGTTTCGTCATTCGCGTTGAACGTCTTTTAGTGTCTTCTTCCCTTAAACCGTTCGCACCCTATGGGTTTCTTACGTGACGCGTTAGTTCTTAATTCGCCGATGTTCGAAAACATGCGAATGGTTCTTAATGACAAACGAACGATCATGAGTCGACAAAACGCAGGGATTGCTGGTTAAGCGAATATAAGGAAGGGAGAAGGGTAAATTCGAATACGAACGACGAGTTAACTCGACCACCCCGACCGTGAAATGTATGATATTCATGAGACGTGTCTCCAACATGTAAATTCGGTATACGAAAATAGCATTACACGAACATTATTGTATATATCCGCACTGAATTTATAACGAATGTTTCCTTATTCCGTATTTTGCTCTTCGCATCTATATTTATGCAAAGCGCGCCGTTGTTGGATCTGCGGTGGTAAAATCTTTGTCAGTTCGGCTTCATTTCTCTTTTAAAGGGTTCCTCGAACTTTGTATCCGATAATTCGAGCGATTAACGGATCAGGTAAGGAGAAATTCGTCCGCGAAATCAACGGTTACCGATAGCAAAATCGATTCTGCACCTCGGCAATGTCGTCCGTGCTTTGTTTGCGTAACGTGGTCGTAAACAATAAACGCCGGCAGAAAATAGACGCGTCCGGCGTGTACGGGGTGCGTCGAACTCGTTGCTCCTCCGCTCGCCTCGCCTCGCCTCGCCTCGCCTCGCCGTTCCTCGCCGCCTCCCATCCCTCATCCCTTACTCCGCCGTATATCGCGTTCGTGTACCAAGGATATTTGTAATCGATCCGTACGATCTGAAGGTAAATCCCGGTCATTGTCGTCCCGATACATAGGCCCGACCGATACGAAACGAAATAAGCACAATTGTTCGGGTTATCGGATAACCGGGACCGTACGGACGGTCCGCTCGAGCCGAGCGTTTACAACTCCATTCCATTATTGAGCACGGGGGTGTGATTTTACACAATTCCCAACCGGAACCGCTCGACAAGATACAGCTTTATTTATGTATTTATTATTTAATTATTTATTTACTTATTCATTTACACATGCATTTACCGTATTACTCTGTTTTCAAATTGCGAACGCCAGAAGGAAACCGAACGTTCACGGGTTAGGAAAGGATCTCTTCACCGAGTAATTGAAATCATTGATACATTTTCAAACGAATACCTCTCACCCTCATATATGAGCTTTATACATCGGTGTTACATAATAATCATTTGAATACGTGCGAACGGTGTTAAGAAGAGTCTTTTCTCGGGGGATTTCTGGAAGGACAGGAAGATTGTCCCGATTCTTCGGGAACGACTCGTAGCTGGCTCGAATTTCGAGTACTCGGACAGGTGTACGGGGAACCGGTCGATCACGAGGCGTTTCGTAATTTTGTCAGCTATTATAACCGTTCCCTCGTGTAACGCTAATGCAGGCTACGTGCTTGGCTGGTAGAAAAGCGTCGCGTCGTCTTCTCGGTTGATCGGGGCGCAAGCTGACACGAGCGTGGTCGTTACCCGGCGATTGTTCTCCTCGCATCCTCCAGAATATTTATCAAGCCGCCGGGATGCCACGGGAACAATCGTAACCCTGCGCCAGCTAGGATCTTTAATAATGGGAACGCGATGCAGGGCCGTATCGATTTTAGGGAGCAAGCTGCGGTGCAAGCCATTTACGGGCCGGTACCGATGGAGATTAATGGAAAGTCGCTTGCATCGGCTCGTCGGACGTCCGTCGAACCTCCTTTCGAACCTTGGTTACCTTCGCGAACTCGAGGCGTCCACTTTTGCCGTAAATTTTACATGCATTTCCGATAACGGACTCGCTCCCGGTATTTTCTGTCGATATATCGGCACACATTTCGGAGCAACCTCTGGCTGCACTCGCGCGATCCTGCGTAAGCCCTGTACTCGTAATGTTTACATTTAATTAGCGCATAATGAAACGGAGTAATAATAATATAAACTATGATAATATTAATATCGAGACTCTGTTGGCGAGAGCAGTTCGAGTTGAGTCGTTCGACAATTTCGAAGACGGTCCATCGGGCGCTCCTTCTCTTCTCGACAATCCGGGGTTAATTTTGTCGCGAGTCGCGTCGTAAATGGGAGCAACTCGTTCTCAAGCGGGTTTGACGCGAGCGATTGATGGCAACGCTATTCCCCTAAACGCCTCGTAAGTGTCGCGCACCCTTTACGGGATGCGCAAACACGGTTTAAAGCGAATCCAACGATTCTGGTTCGCGTACTCCTGCGAAATTAACACAGCGCTGTATCTAGTTTCGAAGTTGCGCCCCGCGCGGCTTCGCGGAACACGTGTCATCCGATTCCCTCGGCAGTTACACCGTCTGCGATAATTGTGCACGTAACTTGGCGGTGTCCCTTTGGCCGCGACGGTGCGACGGAACGCGTGGAAAAACGGTTCTGTAAATCGAGTAGGCGGAAAGCTCGCGAGTGAACGGACTTCTCGGTTTCGATCATTAACGTTCCGATTGCCTCGAGTATCTCGAGTGTTTCAAGCATCTCTTATTTTTTCGTTGCAAAAGATACATGGAGATAACCGTTAATTCTATCTGTAACGCGAGATTTTGAAGCCGTTTACAAGCAGCTCGTAGTCGTTTCGTAAAACTTGTAATCTTGTAATTGTTCCCAAGCAATTCGAAAGCATTGCTCACCGATGACCGCGATGGTAGTCGATGCATAGGAGAAACAGGAATCCTATAATAGGGGGGACGAGAGTGGTGGAAATAAAAGAAGGGAAGGTTACGAGGGATGTGTTTTCGTGAAAGCCTGTTGTTGCGGCCAAGTCGCACAGGACGGGTTACGTGGCGTGGCCTGCATAGGTTCTTGAACGGTGGCACACAAGGGGTAGCTACGATTACGTGGAAACGTCCAAATGGTCATTCGCGTCGCAACGGCCGCGACCGGCGCGCTGTCGTGCCAGAAGTCTTATACTAAGCCACGATTTCTTTGTCTCGTTCCGTTCCGTTTCACTTTGGTCCCGCACGATACCCGATGCTCCCGGTCAATACGTTTACCGGTCAATCGTTATCGATTTTCCGTTTGCACGGCTCCCTTTGTACGCCGCGTTCTCGCATCAGTGATTCACCATCGCTACGGCACGATAACAATATTTTGTCGACCGATAACGCGATCTTCTCGGACAAAGG